CAATCCACTCACCTCAGCCTCCCAAAGCACTGGGATTACAGGCTGAGCCACCGAGCCCGGCTACCCAGAGGTTTTCTTGGCGGTGGAGAGCAGCACACCCGCTGGCCATTTCAGGGACTTCCCATCATGGACAGGTGCCAGACCCCATTGCTGGGCTTAGCATCCCATGTCACACAGCCCCAGCTGAGCTGCTTTCCAGGCTTGCCCCTGCCCTAGGCTTGTTCAACTATGGGTAGCCCTGGACAGGGACCTTGCCTTCCCCCTTGGTTTATGTGTAGTGGTCAGGGGTTCGTGGCCAGTAACTGTTGATGGATCAAATGGAGTCCAGCTCACCAATGCCATCCGCTCATGCTCCCCTGGCCCACGTGCCCACCTGCACCCAGTCACGTTTTCTCTACCTCCTCCTGCTCTCCCGTCCTCCCTGCCTCGCTGCTAGCCAGGCTCTGCTGTCTCCTACTTCCTGGTGACCCGAGGAATATGAAGTCTTTACTCTGATGGGTCGTGTGTTGAAGAGTGCTCTGGTTTTCATCTTGGTGGCATGTTCAGGCCAAGTGTACCCAGGCTGATGTGTAACTTTGATCTTTGCAGCAGGACGATGACACCCCGAAGAAGGCCTTGTACCTTATGTTTGACACTTCTCAGGAGAGCCCCGTCAAGTCTCCTCCTGTCTGCATGTCGGAGTCCCCAACGCCGTGTTCAGGGTATGACTTCCATGATGAGTGTGTTGCTGATCAGGCTGGAGGCCTCAAAGCCTCTGTTCTGCTGAGTTCACTCTGCTTGTGTAGATTCAGCCCACCCTCATTCAGTCTCCCTGAATGTCCACATGGACGTAAACACATTGGTTTTGTTATTGGCTGTCCTTTGGACTAAGGCAACATCCTGTAACAGCTGATTGTGGTGCACAACCCCCTCCCCCATCTCCTCCAGTGTACCACACTTTATTCCATCATTTGTCCGATGAGGACAGCATGGCAAAACATTCAGAGCCTGAATTTCACCTGCATCCCCTACTGGATGTGTGACTTGATGTGAGGTACATGACTTCCTGGGCCTCCGTTTCCCTGTGTGCCAGTTGGGAGTAATAATAAAACAGACCTTGTAAGGATTTCACAATGACTAAAGGTAGCTATCAGTTTTCCAGAGCATTTTCCAACCGAGGGATGGGATAAGGCATCTGTCTTCTAGAGTGATGCTTTGTGGAAAGCTTGTACAAGTGTCTGGCATGCGTCAAGTGCCTGATAAACATGGGTTCATGTTCTGAACAGTGTGATGTTTGATTTGGGTAAGAGTGGGGATTGCTTTGCATGTCCCTTTCATGAGCAGGAGTGAAGGCTCTCTCTGACTTCAACTTACAGAGACCCTGCAGGCCAGAATCTTCTCAGGGTGGTAAGAAAAAGAATAGTGGTGGTGATGTTATTATAGTGGCACTATTGATAGGCACTGTGTTAAGTGCTTTATAATCATGTAACATTTCATCTATCTTCACAGAGCGGTACATTGTCTCCATCATATCAAAGGAAACAGGCAGAGTTCCCATTCACCTCCCCAGTATACACAACCAAGCAATTGACAGTCTGATTAACTCTAGAGTTTGTGCCCCACAGCCAATGGCATCTGTGCTTCTACCCCTTTCTTGTCTGTTGACCCTCGAGTGGGGCTGGATCACTCCTTCCCTCTGACTGCCCATCCTAGAGGAAGACCTGCCACTGAAGACCTGGCCCGTGTTCCTCTGGAAATCCAGGATCCCTTGGGATGTTGACTCCATTGGGACATCCTGATTAATTTTTGCCGTGTTTCCAATGAGAAGACTCTAAAGATGTCCTTTCCTTTCTCAGGTCAAGTTTTGAGGAGACCGAAGCCCTTGTGAATGCCACAACAAAAATCCAGCATCCTGTCACACGAGGGCTGGCCCCCAACCCAGAGCCACATTTGCAGGTGCCAGAGAAATCCTCCCAGAAGGAGCTGGAGGCCATGGCTTTGGGAACCCCTTCGGAAGCAATTGAAATTGTAAGTGAAATTGGAGGGGCCCAAGATCTTGGGGATTGAGGCTGGGGCCAGCTGGGTACTATCCCCAATGGGGCCAGACTTTTAGACAAGCACTCCCCTGGCACCTTCTGGGGGTTCCACTCTGACTCTCAGGCCACAGAAGCCAGCCTAGGAGACCCTACACCATGATGATGAGGGAAAGACTCTCAGTTCACACCAGTGTGTCTTGGAATTCTCACCTAAGTGCTTGGTTTGCCTTCAGGGTTAGTTATTTTCGATTTTTAGCCCCTTGGACTGGACTGTTTGAAATAGTCATTAGTCCTCTGCCTCTCCATCCTCGATGGCAAGTGGCAGGGGACACTCTCCTTTTGGGGAACAGTTGATTTTCTGAGGAATTAGTAAGGGAAAGTTTCTCCTGTTTATAGACCAAGACGTATACCTCTCCCCTCTGAATCCCTTCTGTGGCCTTGCAGCACAGATAGACCTGAGCTGGCAACCTCACCCACCCTCCACTCCCTGCAGCCTCCCTAAAGTATATGGTACACAGGCTAGGGTCTTCCACACGTCTGAAATGGACCTCCTTCTAAATGAATTTTATTTTTATTCCTCACCCTCTCTCATAGCAATCCCCAAGCAGGTGTGAAGTCATGATTTAGTGTGTTACTTTTGTTGTTCTGTGTTAGTAGACTATTTATCCCATGCATTAGATGTTTATCGGGCACCTACTATGTTGGATGCTGGAGTAGATACTGGAAAAATAATAGTGAAAAGAGGGTCTAGATGTGACTCAATCCCTCAAATAAATACTGTGAGGGACTTGCACATGGTTCACCTTCTACAAAACTGGCTTCTGATTCTGAAGTCATTCTGATCTAACAGGAGATATTTTTGCGTTTGAAATCATCTTTCCATTACTTAGAAAAACACCTTTACTCAAACCTTACTTCCTTTAATATTTATACTTGGAGGTGTTTTCTCAATGAGGAATATTATGTTTGACAAATCCATCAACGAACTAGCCATCTACCCACTGAGATCCTCAAATACATAAGCAATTGTTAATGTAGCTCCTTCCCATTGACTAGGGAGTGAGGGTGGTGTGGGGGTGGGGAGGGCACCAAAGGCTGCGCTTTTGGGAGGGGAGTTGGGACTGCCAGTCTCATGATGTCCACTGTCTGCATGTAGGAATTAGTCCAGATGAAAACGCAAGCAATGGCAGCTAACTGATACTCTCTTTAGCCTGGAGGCAGAAATGTCCAGCAAATGGATGCTTGAAATCAATATCATTCTGTGTTCTCCTCTATTTTTCTTGTGTGTCCTCCACTCTGCCGGCTTTCAGACAGCTCCTGAGGGCTCCTTTGCCTCTGCTGACGCCCTCCTCAGCAGGCTAGCTCACCCCGCCTCTCTCTGTGGTGCACTTGACTATCTGGAGCCCGACTTAGCAGAAAAGAATCCCCCAGTATTCGCTCAGAAACTTCAGGTTGGTAGCCCACGTGTGACCTTTTGGGAGTTTGGCAAAACCTCAGTAGAGAATGAACCCCTGAGTCCCAAATGAAATGAGGCAGGATGTCATGAGGAACTGCTGAGCGTGTTCCCAGTGAAACATCTTCCCCTCAGAGACTAATAGATGGTGTTCTTTACTCAAGATGCCAAAGTTGTATAAAATGCATGATTGCATATTGAACAAACCATTTCCATTTCAATTTGGAAATTGGGCCCTATCAGTCCTTTTCAGGAGTATTGATAGCCAAAGCAGTTTCTGTGATGTATTCACTGAACTAAAGCTATCAGATCACTGTTGAGCCAAGCTGTTTGTACATACGGGGCTATCTCTGACTCCCATTGAGATAACATCTGGGCTCAGTTTTGCATCTGGATCCAAAAACAATGATCTCTGCACTTAATTTGATATCCTCTAGACTAGGGCGTTCAGAACAAACCTAGAGGGTTTGTTAACAGCCACTTGAGAGATTCAGTTTCATACATGGAAATTGTTGGCCAACTTTATGTTGCAAAAACAAAAGGAAAAAAATTCTTTAAAGTACAGTGAAAGTTTCCACCCTATTTTGAAAATCATTTTATATTTAACTGCATAATACTTCCCAGCAGACATTCCAAAGAGCAATTTTTTTAAAAAAGGAAATTAAATGCTTATTTCATGATCTGCTGAGGTGTTCATTGTGAAAGAAGGGCGGAGCGTGTGTTTTTCCCAAGTACCTGTCATGACACATTTACATGGCACATGCATTTCTGGGATGTGGAAAACACTGACCTCTGTCTTGATGCATTTCCCCGCGGTTTGCACACACCCCACCCACGGGCAGGAGGAGTTAGAGTTTGCCGTCATGCGGATAGAAGCCCTGAAGCTGGCCAGGCAGATTGCTCTGGCTTCCCGCAGCCGTCAGGACGTCAAGGTACCAGTTTGCTGCTGCAGTGCACCGCCTCCTGAGAATGTCATGTGTGCCGCTGTGGTCCAAAAGCTGCTTTGCTAACCATCCATCAGGCAGGCATCACCGGTGTCCAACAAAACGTCATTTTCCAAAAATCGAAAGCTTAACTCTTGCATAAGTATATACTGAGCACATGTCTAAGATCTGTTTAACTCTACAGTGTGGGAAGCAGTGGGACGGCAGTGCTGGTTAAATGGAGGGGAATATGGGAAACCAATGTGTGGAGTCAGTGGCATTAAGAGACTAGAGTGAGATAGCTGAGTTAGATAGGAAACTGGTTAATAATACTGACTCAACAGAGCAAAAAGAAATCACCTTTGAATTCATTATTCTCCCTATTGGTATCATTTGCTTCTCCACTGAGCAAAAATAATCTGCAGCTTTTCTGTTTTCTACAAGTTAACCTCTAACTTCAGTGAGACTGAGGCTATAATCAATAATAAATAGTAAGTGAACCTGAGACATTAGACCTAGGGTCAGCAATCCTTTCTGTAAAGGGCAGATAGTAAATATTTCAGGGTTCAATGTTCCAGTAAAACATTTTTTTTTTTTTTTTTTTTGAGTTGGAGTCTCACTCTGTCGCCCATGCTGGAGTGCAGTGTCACACTCAATGGCCACCGCAGCTTCGACCTGCCGGTCTCTGGCGGTCCTTCCGCCTTAGCCTTCCAAGTAGGTAGAACTATAGGCACACACTACCATGCCCGGCTAACTTTTTTTTTTTTTTTTTTTTTTTTTAACTAAAAGGGCAGCGGGCCATCTGGCTGGTGGTATTTGCCAATCCCTGCTTTTAGTGTGGAGTATGATATTGACAAGGCACGTAGAAATCTTTTTGCCTGGCTTCCAACTTGGGTTAATTTTTCTTAATAATTTGAACAACTTGTTGATGATGACATGCACCTCATATGCGACCCTCAGGGCTGCCGGGGACGGGCGGGGGGGGGGAGCATGGTCTCTGAGCAGCAGCCCCTCTTCCCACCCCATCGCCCCACTCCAAGTTGAACAACCTGGTGAGTCATACCAGGGCTTGATCAATAAGTTAGTGAATCCCTGGGATCCTCAGTTTTTCTGTCTGTGAGATGAGGCCCATAACCATGAGTTTGCAGTTTGCTGTGAGGGCTACAGGCAGTGGGTGTACAGAGAGTGGCACCATGACTGGCACATAGTAGGTGTGCTATCAAAGAAAACTGCTAACTCGGGAGGTTGAGATGAGAGGATCGCCTGAGTGCAGGAGTTCAAGACCAGCCTGGGAAACATAGCAAGTCTCAATCTCTAAAAGAAAAAAAAAAAACAACTGCTGCTATTAGCTAACACTTCACTTTTGCCTCTGTTACCTGATAAACTCTCCGCAGTAGGCAAATGTATTTCACAGATGGAAAATGAAGCCGTGTGACCGTGCTTTGCCAGTTGGTAGGGACTGAAATCAGGTCTGCAAATGGGAGCCCCTGGCCTGCCTGTCTTGAGTAACAGCTCATTGCAGAGGGAGCAGTGGTATTTCCATTTCTCGTCCTCAGTACAGGAGCAGGTGTTATAGCTTCTGCGCCTGCCCTGAGGGCTGTAGCCAAAAGGGAGACGCCTCTCAGAGACAGCAGGTGGTCACACTGTGGATGTCCATACTGGGAACAGCAGAACCCTGAGAAAGGACAAGAACATCAGTTCAGGTCAGAGAACATCATAGTGTACTTGTTCTTGTTGCCAAAACATAAACTTAGGTTGAACTTCCATGAAAGCAAGATGTTTAGAAAGCTTTGAGCAGTGAGGGTTTTTACCCCTGCTAGGTTTATTTCTTGATGTCGTTGGGGAGTGGATTATAGATAGAATGAATTGCCTGAAGTTTGGCCGCTGTAAGTACAGTGTGTTCCAGTCCAGAAGTATCTGATAAGTAGTTCAGATTTGGTATGGGATGCACCCAATGTCTCACTCCTACTGCCTTCTTCTCTCAGAGCGAGCCAGTGATGCCTTCAAATACAAATACTGACCAGGAGGTGACTTTCTGTCAGTTACAGCCTTTTCTCAGACCATGATGTAGAAAATAATGTCACATGAATCCTCTGAGTATGGATCAGGGAGGCAGCCCAAGCCACCTTCTTCTGTATTTCAGAAGTGTATGCTCAAAGGAATATTCTGCTGGGGTAGAACTGTCTTAGGGTATAAGGAACATTTTCCTCTATCATAGTAATGCACATCGCTTTTGTAAAAAGTGTATTAACTAGTGACACTGGCCCATGGAAAGTAGATTCCATGTGCCTATGGCTACCCAGCCTCAGGGTCGCCCATGACCTTAGCCTAGTTAGGTCCCTATGGGCTCCTTTTTCGTATAGACACTCAGGTGCCCCTCACTGCGTTGGAGACTGCTGATACATGGAAAGAGGAAACAGCAGTGTGTCTCCAATTTGCCCTTTTTTCTGTCCATATATTTCGACTGCAGGTGACACAGCTCAGTCTTTTTGGCAGCTTGGTCTGAAGCTGTTGCTAACACAAAAATGAAGTCACTTAGAACAAAAAAAAATCATATTGAGTGGATGAAAATCAACATGAGATAGAGTGGGGGTGATTTTCTGGTTGTTTTTTAGAACAGTTTCGACTTACATTGTCTTTGGGCTGACAGAGCTGAGCCAGCCTTTGAGCACGGCAGCAGAGATTTCTCCATCTCAGTTAGAAAACGTTAGAAATGAGGAAAGGTCCTCGGGCTGGGGTGTCGGGCTGCAGCCTCATGATCACTTTCCTTCCACATCTTCTGGCCAAGCTGAATTCGGCTGGGCTGTGTCCTTCTCGGGGAGGATCTGACCGGGGTCGCTGGAGGTGCAGGCTGGATAGAGCCTGAACATCACTGTGTGACTTTCAGAGGGTCACAAGGCATAACAGGGATTGAGTTACTGTGTATATCACAAATACGGGTTGTGATCCCTGCAGCCATTAGCCTTTCTGGGTTAGGGAGACACAATGTAAAGACTGCAAGACGTGTCTGGGTCACTTAGGAAAAGGCCATACAAATAATAAGCTTCAGGAAGGAAACAACTCCTAGCAGCAGGCACCATGGGTCAGGAAAGTGGGTGAATCCTCGGGGTCTGAGCCCTCCAAGAGTCTCGGCTTAGACGAGGCCAGTGCCTGCATTTTACTTGAGTGGGAAGAGTCAGGGCAAGCTGTGCTGTTGAGCAGCCTGGTGTCACATTCTGTGTGTCTCTCTTGTGCTGTGTCCACAAACTCCTCCTCCCCCATTTAACAGTGGTTCAAAAGAAAGGTGACATCCTGCCCAAAAGCCACAGGGACAATATGAGAGGAGTGACAAAGGACTAGCTCTTGGACTTCAGCTTGTTTGAGAATTTGCGGTCACTGCCTGGAATATGTGTTTTGACTCAGTGGGAAGGAGTGGCCAATGTGGGAGTATGCTGGGGCATGGTACTGAGTGCCTCCCTGTGTTTGCTGCTTCTGGGCTTGGAAACTGCCTGTTGTCAGCTTAGGATGGGGCAGCACCCAGTGGGGGCTGTCATGCCTGGATGGCAGCATGTGGCCCAGACACCTGCTCCATGGTCTTAGCCCTGGCGGCCCTTGTTGCCCTAGCTCATCTTGAAGCCGGTTCTCACTTCTCCCTGGCCCCTCTGGCCCAGCTCTCCCAGTCTCGGATCTGCAGGTGCTCCCCACAGAGTCAGATTCTGACTGCTCCCGGGGACAGGGATCCTGTCATGGCGCCAGCCCCTAAGGCCTGTTAGCAGGGAACTGTCCACAGGGGGAATTGAGCCCGGGTGAGTGGCAGGACCCTGCTCCTTGGCTGCCAGCCAGAAGGGCCCTAGGCACAGCCTGCAGGTCTGCAGAGGGTGGCAGTGGCCAGGGGTTCTCTCAGGATCCAGGACTTAAGGAGTGGACTGAAGATTGGAAGTTGGCTGCAATGACTTATGCCTTCTCAGTTGTGACTGTTTCACATTTCAATTTGTGATTCTAGTGGCTTTTTGCTCCTCTAGAATAGCAAGTGGGGGATTATGTAAGAGAAAGCCTAATCTGAAAATATCTGGTCCTAAAATATCAGTGAGAGACAAACCTATTAATTTCAGTTAAAAACAATTCTTGGTTGTAGGGAAAGCCAGGGTGTATACCATGAATTTCATTAACACGCAGACACTCGGTAGTAATTCAAGAGGGTTCTGAAGTCATCTGTGCCTTTATTGAAAACACCAGGTGGTCGGGGTGAAGGGTGAGAGTGAATCACTCTATATGGTAGTATCCATTTGCATTCATGGCTCATTATTTAATTTATTTTTTCATTTTCTTTCTCATTTTACAAAAGACTTTAGACAACTTAAAGGGCATTAATTTCTTCTTTAGTCATATTTAGTTTCAGCTCAGTATGATAACAGTTTTAATTGAATTCATTTTCTCTTGCACTTCAGGGAGCCAGTTTATTTGGGGTCAGAACTGAATCTCATTCTGGCAAATGTTTTGACCAGATCTCTCAGATCCTCAATGTTTTTCCATCTTCAGAAGGACCAGGCTGAGTTTGTTGGTATCTGATGTTTTTATTTTGAAATGTCAGTGTACTAGGGATTTTCTTTTTTAAAAGAGCATATTAGTTTACTTTAAAAGTGATAGGGCAGGTTTTTAAAAATTCTTTCAGAATTTTGTGTTTATAAACTTTCTCCATAAGTACAAATGTTGAGTCTTGATCTTGGTATGATTTTCCAGCTTCTTCCTGAGAAGTTCCCCCATGACAGATAGAATTGAGAAAACCGTTTAACAGCAGAGATTAGCCCATGTGTGTAAGAGGCTCTAGCCTGGTGACTGTCTTTCTTCTGAGAGGTCAGCCTGCTCTTGCTGAGGGCCGTTAGCTTGTGTTCCAGTCAAGTGTCCTAGAAACAGTGTGGCACCCTGTTCTCAGGGGGAATGAGTGTCTGGGGTCTGGTTGAACAGGGAGGGCTGCACACTCCCATCTCTGGCCAGCAGATCATTCATGTCCCACTTCAGGGTTAGCCCAAGTCCTCAAAACCAGACAGGGGCAGTGATAATCGAAGCGACAGACCTTTTCTTCCAGGACAACCTAAGCCATGTAGTTCACTTTGCATGTGTATAACTAACTGGTCCTTAACTTAGTCATCTCCGGTCCTATCCATTAAACTTCTACCTGAGTTTTCTAAGCTGTCTCCTTTTTCAGTTTCATTTTCCTTGATGCCATGGTAGGGTAAGCATGCCTGTCTTCGTGGTGAGGGAAAGAAACTCTTTGCTCAAGTACCTTTGGGTCCAACCCTTCCCCAGTTCCTGTTGGCTCTTTAATCTTGCCCGATGCCCTTTATAAGTTCTCAGCATTCTTTCCCCCAAATCTCCCTCTTTCTACTGTACTGTGGTGTTCTGTTCATCACTCAGTTCTTCTCATAATTTCCCAGGGAGGAAGCAGTCTCAATCTGCCTATTAAAGCACCATGACTTCACATCGAGTTGGACTCTAGTAACTAGGGTAGAGATTTCGCCTTGGCAACCATGACAGCACCATGAGGTTAATGCATAGGACGGAGAGTATTGTTGGTTTGATGTTTCTTTTGCAGTAGAAGTAGACTGACAACCTGGCTGTGCTGGTTGACGATGCTCCTAACACTACATTTCAACTGTGTTGGAAATTGCCAAGCGTTTTGGGCAAAGAGAAGAATAACCACAGAGCCCTCCTCACCTCCAGGAGGCTAGTGTCTGTCCTCTACAAAGGCTAAAAACTTCAAACCAGTGTCAGCTGGATGGGGAGGGATGGTGGATCATGCCTCCTGTTGAGGGTCTGATCAGCAAATGTGGATGTCATTGACCCAGTTTAAAAATTTCCCGTTGACATAACAGACTTAATGGCAACATAACTCTTAAGTCTTGGAAACACTAACTTGCTGAAGGTGACATTCATTGACAATTACAGTAGGCCTTAAGCTTTGTGTGAATCACATCCTTTCAAACAGAGCTAAACAAATACCCCCAACATGGAAATGAAAATAGTCTTACAAAAAGGATCAAATCTGTGGTTATTCAAGACCAAGCAGACATAGAGGAGAATTCAACACCTTTTACTATCAAGGTTTTATTTTGGAAGTGGAGTCTGCTGAATAGGGACCTTCGTTCTTATGTGCTGTGCCTAAGTGGCTCGATGTCTGATAAATGGCAGTGATAAGCAGGGCCCAGACGTGCTTGACTCCAAGGGTTCAGATTTGCAGGGGCCTCTGCTATTAGCCCCTTTGTCTGCCTGCCCAGGTGCTGCAAAATGATAGATCTCCATAGACTGCACTTGGCATTTCCCCGTTCATTAGTCTTTGCATTTTCTCACATTTTAGATGTTCTGTTTCAAACCCATAGAACTCACCCATTCATGAGATGATGAATGCAGTCCTTTTTGTCATATGATTAATGTTAACTTTTTTTTTTAATTAAAAACCATTCTACAGAGAGAGGCCACTCACCCAGCAGATGTCTCCATCTCCAAAACAGCCTTGTACTCCCGCATCGGGACCACCGAGGTGGAGAAACCTGCAGGCCTTCTGTTCCAGCAGCCTGACCTGGACTCTGCGCTCCAGATTGCCAGAGCAGAGGTATTGTGGCATGTGGCTTGGTTGCCCTGGGAAAGAATCCTGTTCCTGTCACTTATAAACCAATGTGTATATACACAGTCCACAAAGCCAATGTTTGTGCAAGCAAACTTTCTCTGGATACTGCAGGCGAAGTTGTGTGGCAGACCATGGGTTTTGATCTTCCTAGACATCATCCTTTGACAGGCTTCCGTAGCCTTGTTGGATTTATAATAAAAAGCATACTCCTTTCAGCTGTTCCCCAGCAGTCAGGGTGAAAGCCTGATATCTGGCTTGTTGCTTTTTCATGCCTGGGGAAGTTCTCTGAATGTAATTTTGGTTTGGGGTAGGAAGTTTTCATTTCAATTTATTCACTATCTCCTTGTCTTGGTCTGTGAATTGCCCAGATTCGAATTCACTCATTTGCGGCTAACCTTTCTCTTTTTCTCCCTGATACTAGATCATAACCAAGGAGAGAGAGGTCTCAGAGTGGAAAGGTAAATATGAAGAAAGCAGGCGGGAAGTGATGGAGATGAGGTGAGTTGTGGAGCTCGGCCCTCTAGGGTGCCTGGGAAGGCTTACCTGTGGCTTTGTACTGGCGGGAACTGGTGTGGTTCACAGAATAGAGTCCTCTGTAGGAGAAGCTCTCTTTTCTTTATTCTACAAGGCTCATGTTTCTACAGAGCTGTTTTTAGTGTATTGCTGTTATTAAAATAGCATGCACATGAGTTGAAGATGCATTCAAATAAATGCATGTGCAATGCAAAACAGATCTCCTTCCCACTCAGCCACCAGCCCCATAACCCACAGGTCACGGTGCTGTTGGTGGATGCTCCGGGAATTTTCTGTTTCTCATCACAAGTGTGTGAATGAATCTATACAGCCTCCTTTTTTCGTCTCAAAACGAATGAGTGTGCAGTATACATCATTCTACACTTTTTAGACTTAACAGCATATCTTGTACGTATTTTTATGCATTGCTGTCTTATTCTGTTTAACAGGTGCTTCATGGTTCACTGTGTGACTATAACACAATTTTACCATTCTTGGTGGATAAACAGGATGTTTCCAGACTTTTGCTTGAATGATTTATTTTCATTTGTTATGTATTGTAATGGAAATACAATTGCCAGTGTGCATAGTATACTTTATTACTATGGGGAATGCTAGTTTATACTGAAATCAGTTCCTGGCTACAATTTTAAGTAGCAAGCAAACTACCCCTGTTTGTAGGTCACAGTAGTGTCTTCCAGAAAACTCTCTTGTTCTTTCTTTGTGCTAATGCTCTCCTGTGACCATTTCTGAAAATTAACCTTAGTGTGCCATTTCACATTCACATTGAAGCCCTGCAGTTGCATTGTTTTAAAACCTCCTTCTTTTATCTCTTAATTGAGAGGATGGGTGGCTCTAGTTACCTGCACTGAAAATGAAGTAGGGCATACTGGGAGGGCTGAAAGGTCCCGCCTCTGATTCTTTCTGCCTCCCGGGGACAAGTTGTGCTTATGAGGGTTCCAGGAAATGCTGTTTACCAACTGATGTAGTAGGTTTTCAAGATGTTACCAGCTGGCAGAGCTGTACTGGCGTCTGATGGCCCTAGTGTCAGTCCTGTCAGCTTCTGGACCAAGACCGAGTGAAAATCGGACTCTGCATCCCCGCCACTTCCGGGCATGTTACTTAATTCTGTGCCTCGCTTTCTTTATTTGTAAAATGGGGGTCAACAACAGTGCCTCAAAGGCTCTGATGCTTGATTCACATCCAAGCTCCACCACTTTGTAGCCCTCCGCTCCTAAAAAAGTTTCTGGGCCGGGCTCAGTGCTTCAGCCTGTAATCCCAGCACTTTTGGGAGCCCGTGGGTTCGAGACCAGCCTGGGCAACTTGGCGACACCTCGTCTCTACAATAAATCCGAAAACTAGCTAGGTGTGGTGGCGCACGCCTGTAGTTCTGGCTACTTGAAAGGCTGAGGTGAATGATTGCCAGAGCCCAGCAGGTCGACGCTGCGGTGGCCGTGAGTGTGCCATGGTACTCCAACCTGAGTTACAGAGTGAGACTCCAACTCAAAAAAAAAAGTTTCTGAATTACCCTGTGACCCAGTGTCCCTATCTTTAATGCCGGGGACAATGCAAGTGCTACCTCTTAGGGCCACTGTAAAGATAAAGTGAAAAAAGCAGCCAGCTTAGCTGAAGCATTTTCAGGATTTGGGGCTTCCTGTGCTTCTGAAAGGACACGTCCTTCCCCTCCTCTGTGTCCTCAGCAGGGATGAGTTTGGACAGGGCAACCTCAAAGATCCATCATGGTTTTGTGATTCTGAGAGGCAAGGAGGTATTCTTTAGTCACAGAAAACATGACAGTGCTTCTGCATAGGATTCAGAAAATCCTATGGGCTCATGTCTTGATCACCTTTCTTCTTGTAAGCCTGAAGTGAGGCACTGACCTTTGGCGCAAGGTTGACAAGCCAGGGATTAGACACCTGGAAGCTGTGGGGCTAGACTTTGCAAATGCATTCTGCTTTCATTCTTCTTCCTACCCTCATCGAATCCCCTCCACATCCCTGAAAGTCAGGGTCTAGGGTATTTCTTGCTGTACCCAGGAATAAGCAGAGCCCCCCAGCTTCTGTGAACAGCTTGTCCAGAGAAAGGCAGGAAGGGCAGGGTCATCTGGAGTTCAGACCTCCTGCCCCAGGATCTCTGTGGTCTTCTGTCATCAGGGTCCTGGGTCTTCGGCAGTTAGCAGCACTGGGTTCTCTTGAGGTGAATAATTATTGGATAATATAGATGAGTCCTCAAGTCTTTTTGAGGATTTTCTTCCAGAATTTTGGCTTTGGAAAGGGGGCTCCTCCACACATCTGTCTTTCACTTGGGGGCAGCTGTGAGGCACTCTCGCAAGCAGGGAATCTTAATGCTTTTATGCAACTGCTGTTTACCTGAGAAGTGCGCTCCAGGCCCATTTCTTGCTCCACAAACACAAGTACAAAGTGGCCTCTGGGTCTCAAGGAGCTTCTACTCCAGTAGAAGATAAGTTGAATGATACCAGATGTATGAGATGCTTTGGAAGAAGATGCAGATAAAATGTCACAGAGTTCCAAGGAAAAAGCAGGGAAGGCTTCCTGGCAGAGATAGCATTTAAGTTGGATCTTGAGAAACAGACTATGAGAGGCAGAAATAAAGCGGGAAAGTGAAAGGCATGGGGGTGAGAAAGCCCAGAATGAACAAGAAATCGTTTTTTTCACATTGAGCCACTGTGTTCATTAGATGGCTTGAAAAGAGGTGAGATTGCTAAGGGTGATTGGGTCCAGATGAGGAAGGCTTCAATAGTTAAGCTGAAGATTTGTCCTTTTTTTTTTTTTTTTTAAATAATTGGTGGGCAATGGGAGATAGTGAAGATTTTGCACAGAGGAGTGGCATGTTTAGAGTGGTACACTAGGAAAGTGAACCTATTTGGGTGTGCAGGCTGAGGTCGGAGGTGACCCTGGAAATGTGGGCCCGACTGTGACAGATAATACTCATCCCACTGTCCGGGTTGAGTCGGTCAGGCTGTGATGTCTAGTCCTGGGCCCCTGGGTGAGATTGAAACCTGTTCTGCCGTCATGGCTCCAACCTGTCTTTCCTTCTCTTACAGGAAAATAGTGGCCGAGTATGAGAAGACCATCGCTCAGATGATAGGTGGGTGTCCTGACATGCAGGGGATCAGGCTTGATGTTTCTATGGGGAGGCTTTAGATGGTAATAGACGCAGAGCAGGCTCCTCGTTGAGCATGAAGTCCTCCGGCGAGGGACCAAAGCATCCCAGAAAATATGGCTTTTCCCCAAAGCAGAGATCCTGCAGGCCTCCTAGAAGCCCCTGCTGAAGAAGCATTATTCATGACTGTGAGAGAGGAGACCATGGCTGTCACCTCAGTAGCCACCATTTGACCCAGCCAAGACTGTCCACCTCCTCATGGAGAAAGAGAATTGGGTTGGTTCCTGGGGTGTGTAGAGGCTTTTTTCCCCCTTTTCTTATAGGAGAGAATAGGAATCAAATCCTTAGACTCTAGTTTAGACTCAAGTGACAAAATGCCCCACAAAGGTGTAGGACAAGGGCGATTGGCCACTCTCCTTCCTATCAATGCTATAGCATACCTTGTTAACTCATTCCAGCACTGGTTCTTGCTGAGATTGGGCACTGCCTCAGAATCTGTCCTTTTTTTTTTTTTTGAGTTGGAGCCTAGGCTGGAGTGCAGTGGCATGCTCACAGCCACCCCAGTGTCGACCTGCTGGGCTCAGGCGATCATTCCACCTCAGCCTTCCAAGTAGCCAGAACTACAGGCTCGTGCTACCACGCCCGGCTAATTTTTGATGTATTGTAGAGACGAGCTCTCGTCAAGTTCCCCGGGCTGGTCTTGAACCCACGGGCTCAGGCAGTCCACTCACCTCAGCCTCCCAAAGTGCTAGGATTACAGGCTGAGCCACCGAGCCCAGCCTAGAATCTATCTTAACACAGTATCCCTGGCACACAGATTTATTTGACCCACAGTAAAAGAAGTCCTCAAGTACAAGTTACATATACCTGGACCTTTTTTGGCTTCTTTTTTAAAACAGCGAGAAAAGATCTTGCAGAAGTTGCAAGCCCAGGTTTTTATACTAATGTTCACTATTCAGAAATAATTCATTTATTTGCTTAGATGATCTTCAGTTTCTAAAAGGCCTTTTTCTTCTAGGGACATATGGAGTAAAAACTCCAGGTCACTGCAAAACATGCTGTGTGTGTCCAAGCTTGACACTGGGCAAGCAGCTGACCCCCCCTCTCAAAAGTTTGAATGTGACAACAGCCTCATGCACAGTAAAGAGGCCAACAATTGAGTGCCTTTCAGTCAAATGAGCTTTACTTTTGATTGATTTTGCTAAAGCCCATTTCACTCAGAACTCCAGGAGAAACTCATTATCGTTGTTCTGAGGTTCAGTATTCTATCAAAATGTAATTTCTTTATTAAGTTGGTATAAAAATTTATGAACACACATGGATGAGATAAAAAATTTGAAAACACTTGGAATTGAAAACGCTGGTATAAATGATCAGAATGAAGGATTTATGTCTTCCTTATGCCGTGTTTGGCAAGTAGAGCACGACTCTGGCCTCCTGGAGTTTTGGGATGTGAGAGCATCATTTAGGGCTACTACAGCTCATCTGGAGATATCCTGCTCCATCCTGGAGTCGTGCACTGTTATTTCTGCCCTGGGTAATGATATCTGGGCAGATGTTGAAATGAGAGTGAAAGGGCGTGAGCCTTTTGCTCCTGAGAGAAGGCGGCCCAGCACCACCTTTCATTGCTCATTTGGTAACTTTGATATAAAGAGACATTCCCTCTTGAAAAGCATAGGAGCATCTCCAGTTGGCCTAAGTGCCTGCCCTTGTGGTAACGGAAAGATCACTCAACTCACACTTTTTGCAAAAAATATTTGCAGGTGAGAACCATTAGGGCGTTTCAGTACTAGACAGTCGGAAGAGTATGCACAATGTGAATTCTAGTCATGCCCTGGCGAGAATGCCACCTGACTTCTTACCTGGATCTAGGGATCATGGTCACACATGCACCCCCACCCCTCTTTAAGCAGACCTGGTGTGCTTGGCCGGAGGGCCCCGCTCTTCAAAAGCTGTACGCAAAACCCCTTTCAGCATTTTCCTGTCTGTGGGGGTACTCTCTGGGTAGTGTCCCTGACTGGAAGCAACACTGATTGGCACCCAGGATGGTATTTCACTGTGGGACCCTGTTTAGCATCCCTGACTAGAAGCGACACTGATTGGCACCCAGGGTGGTATTTCACTGTGTTTCTGTTCCGTTTCCCACCCTTGTTCACTCTTCACCATCCTCTTCATCATCCACTTTTCCAGGGTGTTTCTCATCAGAAGGATGAGATCTGTGGTTGTCACCCATCAGTCATTGTTGCAGCTCATTGACTTAATGCCACCATAGATTTCAAGGTCCTCGTGGAGACAGCAGAGGGCCAAGGCATGACTGGGACTGTAGCTCACAGCTGTAGCTGTGAGCAGGACATGCCTTCTTTCTCGGGGGTCTGATCCTCTCCATTTGGAAGAACATGCCCATGAGTCTCGTCTGGATTCCAGACTTTCCCCTTTTCACCCACGTAGCCAGCATCCCTCATGGAAAGGGAAACTCAGGCCCAGGGAGAAGGGCAGTTCAGAAACAGAGTGAATATAGTCGTATTTTGAAGTTAAAACCAGCCCCACCCCACGTGTGCGCACTCTTCCTGCCTGTGCTTCATACAACCTTCCCAGATGCTGCACACTAGTGTGACATCGGTCCTGCCATGTTGTTCATTTTTGTCAAACGTTGCTAAACAGATGTCTTATGAAGCTCGAGATTGACTATAGAATTTAGAACAAAAAGAGACTTCTGTGCTTTCTGCATTCCAGGTTGTTGCAATTGATTTTTTTTCTGCTTTCCTAACAACTGCCCTGATTATCTGTTTTGCTTCCATTTTATGTTGCTTCTTGCCCTTTGCTTGCAAAACAAACAGGCAAGCCTGGTAAGTAAATGCTTTTTCCCTAATTTGACACCTGCCCATTGCAACCCTTGTTTGTTTGTTTTTCTATTTTTGGTATTTTTGCTTTTGTGTACTTGCTGCATTTCCCACATGATTTAATATTCTTTTGCCTGCAAAAGCCAGAAAAATCTTCAGGGGCTTTGTTTTGTTGTGGAGTCCAGGACTTCTTTGGTTTAAGGCTGATTTCCTGATTTGAAGAGCCTAACTGCGTTTGTCACTTACAAAAAGATTTGAGAAACATTCTTGCCTCTGCAGTCTCCTGGGAACTGGGTGATTCTATTTTTAAATGGGCTGGTTGGGGAGGAAAGTCTTGGATCCAGGAAATCAGATGGACTCGGTTTGATAAAAGGTTCCTTTACCAAGCCAGGTGAAATGCATACATGACTCAAATCAGCCCAGAATGTGTATTAAAGAGCACGCTGGGAACTAAGGAAACAGCTAAAATTCAAAAAGTAAATACAAGCATTTGGTTACTAGTGACATTTTGAAATACCCTTTCTTTTTCGGGGTCTGGATGTAGCAAGCAGATTGCTGGTGATTCTTATCTCTCTGTATGTTGAAAAGCCTCCCCTTCCTGAGTCACTGAGACACACTGTCACACCGATTGAAGGGTGATGGTTACAGAGTTCACTGTGGACAATGAGGCGTCGATAGTAGGTTGATACTGGACATGGACTCTTCCTTGGTGTGAAGGCTTTATTACACATACAGTCTCTCGTTTAATCTTCTCCCAGTTGCCAGGAGATATAAATACTGTTATTCCCTATTTCAGGTAAAGCGGCTGAGACTCAGAGTTTAAAAACCCTGCCAGAGTTCCTACAGCTGGGTAGTCTCAGAGTCAGGATTTGAACCCAGGCAGTCGGACTTGAGCCACTATCCTGGGCGGCTCTGAGCTGCTGATAGTGAGAGCTCTAGGGGTCTGTGATTACAGAGGCAGGGTTGGAGTGACAGTAAACAACTTTAGGGCCAGTGGTTCTCAAAGCAGGGTCTCTGCATAGAGTGTTGTGTCCCTGGGGAACTTGTTTCGGAGGCACTTTCCGGACCCTGCCCCAGACCTCCAGAGTCAGAAGCGAGGAGGTGTGGGGTGGGGTGCAGCTCCCTGTGTGTGCACGCCCTCCCGCTGAACTGGATGCACGCTCCCATGAGAGAAAGGTTGGAAGGAAGGCCCTGAGATTCCAGGAGGTCAGGACTTTTGAGCAAGCTTATGTCAGGGCCAAAGCTAAAACCCAGAATGTGGCCCCCACCACATCCTAAGGTTCCAGTGCACCCAGCTCCAGGGTGTAGCAAGATGCCGTCTATCTGGAACCTAAGGGAAAAGAACTCATGGCATCGTGTCCCATACTGAGGTTGCTGCTCCTTTAAAGTCTGTTATCACAAAAGGCCCGTGTAGAGACACAGTCATGGTCTTGGCTTTGGGCTTGGATTTGGGCTCTGCCGCTTCCTCAGTGAGCAGTAACCTAGCGTCAGAAACCCTCTGTTTCACCTTCTGTAAAACGGAGATAAGAAAGCCTGACTCTGGGTGGTTGAGAGGCTCTGGTCATTCATTTATTACCTGGTTAGGTATCGAGGTATCCTGTGTGCTGGGCACTGTCCTAGGCCAGCGGCAGAGCAGTGGGCAACACAGACTCTGGCGCCTGCTCTCGTGGCACTGTGTTCAGTGGGGAAGTGGGCAGCTGACACGCTCCTGCAGGCCCACGTCTACATGCACACATGTGCACACGCATGTGATATAACAATAAGGGTGACTACTGCTGCCGAGAGGAAAATAAGGACTAGAGAGTGGACAGGAGGCATTTCCCACTTTTCTGGGGAGCAGACATGAGATCAGAGACCTGAGTAATAACAGGGAGCCCTGGAGCAGGACCCTCTGAGGCGTTGGAGACCTTCATGGCTGGAGCAGAGAAGCCAGGGAGGGTAGAGGACTGCGTGCTGGCAAGGTTAGGGTTTTATTTCCACACGGGATGAGGCCATCGGAAGGCTTGCACAGCAGTGAGGTGGCCTAGTTTGCGCATTAGGAATCTCTGTTGGGCTACTAGGTTCTGGCTCAGGGACATGTAGTGACTAGAGCAGTCAGCATGGTGCCCAGCACGTGGAAGGTCCTAGGCATCACCTGCTGCAGCTGTGATTTCCACATGTCATCATCCTGTGGCCTGGGGCTGACAAGATAGGTCTGAAGAGCCCCTTCCTCCCCTCCTCTGCTGTCATCAAGAGAGCAAACAGTTCCTCGCCCCCCGGGGCTGGGGATAGATGGTCACACAGAGGGCTCCGGGCAGGCGAGTAGCTGTTTGGTGAAGAGCAGAGAAGACCTTTCCCACAAATGCAGGAATGATTTTCTATACATTTGAGGCAGATAATTAACTTGGGATGGCCAAGGGCCCGAGAGGTGGCCTCGAGGGTAGGGCTGTTCCTCTTGCCAGGATAAGCCACTCTGAACTGGGCGAAAAGTGGAATTTTTTTTGTACGTCACTGAGAAACTTACGTAGACAGAAATAGCTGTGTTTCTTGTAGCTAAGGCTCTTGCTGTATCAAAGAAGCTGTCAGTTTCTGTGTCAAATGGAATGTCAGAGGAGACAGTTTTGTGGGCTTTGAGTTTCTGGGATGTCCTTAGGATTTCCAAATACCTACTGTCTGTCTTGATAATGCTAGCAAGTCCCTCACAGCTCAGACTACAGCACCTTTAATCTTGCCTCCCACAAAATTCAAAAGTGATGTCTTCTTTTTTACCTCATGGATCTATCTGTTTGCTGTCAGCAACCACATGGAATCACTTCGGTCTCCAATATAGATTTGTAAGGGACTACATTGATCAGGTTAAAGAATGATGGCTAATTTGCCTCCCTTGTGAGACTGCACAGGCTGAGGTCTGGGATGCTGGGGCTGTAGATTCTGTTCCTTTAGAGACCGGTTAGGCTGAGTTGCATCTGAGGCCTTGGCTGGCCCCAGAGACCCAGTTCTGATGCCACGGGCTCCATTGTTTGGCTCCTGGTCTCTCCTGCCAGAGGATGAACAGAGAGAGAAGTCAGTCTCCCATCAAACAGTGCAGCAGCTTGTCCTGGAGAAGGAACAGGCGTTGGCTGACCTGAACTCTGTGGAGAAGTCTCTGGCTGACCTTTTCAGAAGATATGAGAAGATGAAGGAGGTCTTGGAAGGGTTTCGCAAGGTGGGTCTGAGTACGAGGGCAGAGCAGGAGGCTGGACCTGTGGGGTGGAAAAGAGAAAGGGGAGCAGGTTGACAGAGATTGTGGGGAGCCCTGGGTGCAGGGTAGGGGTTCTGCAGTCCGTCTTGAGCTGCCTGTGAGGATGGGGGCTTTGAAGCCTAGGGAAGCAGGCTTGGCCCTCTGGGGTTACACCAGCATCAGAGTTCATGGGGTTCCCACCTCTCCTGGGCATTTCTTCTGATGGGCTCTACCCCTGTCCTCTGCCACATCAGAATGAAGAGGTGCTGAAGAGATGTGCACAGGAGTACCTGTCCCGTGTGAAGAAAGAGGAGCAGAGATACCAGGCCCTGAAGGTGCATGCAGAAGAGAAACTGGACAGGTATTCCTGCTGGAGTCTTCTCCCCAAGGCCTCTTCATAGTCCCTACCAAGGCAGGCTGAGAGCTCTGGTGGCGCCTGTGACACTGGTTTGGAAAGGGCAGATAATCTATGTGCGCCTTTTGATAAGGCATGCGAGAAGGACATGCTCTCAACTGGCAACATTTTGACAAATGGAGGATGCATGTTAGAATGTCCAGGGTACCCAGGTACCTCAGCATCATGGGAATGGAGTTGGGTTTGGAGGTTTTCTTGGGCTTCTGCACTCCAGCCCCAGTTGGTTGAAGCTGGAGCCAGACCAGACCTTCTTCCTGCCGGGAGTTGGAAGTGGGGGGGGGGGGGGGGG